CTGTAGCCCCGTCCAGATAACTTAAAGACACGGACGCTTGAGTTTCATGTGGCGGCAAGAAATGCGGCGTGAAATCACTCAGAGCATCCAGAAGATTTCCCAACGGCAGTCGGACACGGTTGTACGCATAGTCCGACTCAGAATTGCCACCCAACGGAAAGGAGTTTTGTAGAGTCGATTGGTAATTTCGGAGAACCTGGAGAGCAGAGGAAACACTCGGGCGTGGGGACGTGTGAATTACTTCGTCAGCCAAAGCCGGGTGACGCTCGCACATTGACCGTAGTATCCCCCTCAAGGCATCTGTGTCGAGGGTTTCCAACAGTCGAGGGAGGGAAAGTGGTCTGCCAGAGACGTTGGGGCGGGAGCGTTTGAAGGAGCGAGGAGCCGGAAGAGATCGAGGAGTGAAGGCGGGGGAGTTGGTGGGAGAAGCTGACATCCGTCCATCGTGATCATTGCCATCATCGTCGGCTTTCCGTTTACGGTTGCTGGGTGTATGAGTAGGGGTAGACACTGGGATAGTCGTCAGCTCCAGATCTCGACCGTGTAACCCCAAAAAGTCACTTACTTGGATGTGGAGAAGAGAGACGAGAATACTCGTAAAAGTGTGGAGGTACAGGTGGTGTAGCCACCAAGCTGTTCATGATGGGTCACAAACAGTTGGTGGGCAAAGAAGTACTGATATCTCTCAGTGGCGGAGGGAGACGAGGATTTAGAGCACAAGATAGCAGGAGGATGGGAAGGAGGGATAAAGCAAGGGAAAGACAAAATTCCAAACAAAAAAAAGATGGAGAATCAGAAAAGAGAAAGAGAGAGAAAGGGGACAGAAGAAAGAGGGCGTAAGGATGAGTAGAGTTGAGGTGTAGGTGAGTGAGTGGTGGGGAAGGGCGAAAGAAAGAAAAGCGGTGGACTTGCACTTTGCAGGCGGTTGCGGGAGGCAACGCAGGCCGACTGCGCAGGTTTCTGGTGCATGACACCATCCATGATCATTACACGTGAGGTTTTAGGGGGCGAGGTTTCATTTCTACATTTATATTTGATCAACGGAGGCTTAAGAACCATTTCTTTAAAATCATAGAAAGGTATGTGCTCCATTCGAGTAGTCAGAAACGGTCTAAATACATCGAGGGAACCAACAATGAAAACCATATTTTCAATTCCGACGCCAGGGAAATGCGAGACCACCAAAACGACTGAGACCATACGGCATACATCTCCCTACCACAGAGATCGTAGGAAGTATGAAAAGAAAAGAAAAATGATATCTACAAGTACAGGGACTGTGCAGCCACAATGTCCCTACGCACCTTAGTCAGAGCTTCCTCGAATTTGCTCTCGAGTTCCTCGTTACCCATAACCTTGGAGGCCTGCGCCATCTGACGGAGACACTCCTCCAATCGACGGAAGACCCGAATCAACGATCCTTCATAGACATCGGTCATTCCACTAATGAGAGGGACAAGTTAGTTTTCGAAGCAGACTTCGACTAAGCGCACCGATAGATGGACAACTCACCAAATATCAGCAAAGGACTTGCCGTTCGCCCATTCGTAGATGACCTCCATAAGCTCCCAGTGGAAACTGTTTACATATTCCTCCTCGTTGACAGCCAGCTTGGATTCTTGAGAAACCTTGGCAACTATCCGGGCCTGTGCTTGAATTTCCTTCAGGGGCTTTGCCAGGTCGTCCCGCGTCAGAGCAGGAGTCTCCTTGGACTTCTCCTCAAAAACGAATACACTCAGTACAGCAGCGATTTGTTCCGGAGTAAGTTTGTTGAAGAAACCGTTGAAAAGAAGTTCGCTGAGCATGAGCTCGTCTCCCGTGCTGATTTCGCAGGCGACTCGTGCCTTCAGCTGCACGACTTCGGCCTCGTTAATGAAACCGAACCGACGTAGTACACGCTTACGGCACTTCAGCTCATCAAGCTGCATAATGGACATGGCCTCGGAGATCTTCTTCTTCGTCTCCTTGATCTTTGTTCCCAGCTCCACCTTCTCAGAATATTGCTCGTAAAGCTCTGGTAGCCGGGGAGAGTTGTGCAGAGGGTTGGAAAGCAAACGAGACTCGAGGACCTCAACTTTCTGTGGTGATAATCAGCATTGCGCATAATTCAAAGTAAATGCAGAAGAAGATATGTGTCTTACTCTGAGTAGTTTCTTGAAACTTTCGCCCTTGATATTCATATCCTCAATCGGATCAAGCGTAGCAATGCCATCGGGGAAGCGCTTATGGATCTCAACTAGATATTTCTTGACTCCATTTTTCGCTTCTTTTGGATTCAGGTCCTTGGGAAGCTTCATGCGTACATGGGAGATGGCACGAATGCATTCTGTAAGAACTGGAACGACCTCCATTCGAGAATCTTCCCCTTCTTTCACCGGCCTGACTCCAGACGGTAACTCCTCAAATGTTTTTGTGGCCACAGACGGCCCTTCGGCAATATTGAGCAGAACATCGACGACGTATCTCTTGTCACGAGGAATCTCCTCCGTTGAATTCTTTGGTGGCTTCCGTTGTTTGTAATTGACAACCACACCCCATCCAAAGTCTTTGTCTTTGTGTTTGATGTGCACTAAACGTCCCGGAGACATAAAGGTCAAAGAATAATCTGGATGGCTGATGACTGCTTGTATGTCATCTGCAAACTTGTCGAGCTGCGTCCTCAATTCGTAGTATTCGCGAATGGTGCCTTCGTCAGAAATGGTCATGTTGGCCCTCTTCTCTTCAAATTCCTGTAGCTCTGCAATGGGGTCAGCGCAAATATCCTCCTTCCAGCTATCAAGTGATTAAGCATACGTTTCTCGAGCTCGGCAACACCGGCCGTGTTTTGGAATTGGTAGAAGCATTTCTCCAGCATGAACTCGGGCGAGATGCCTTCCACACGCATCAGGTTCAGTATCATATTGTAACCCAAATGGAAAGCTGAGTTGAGCCTATCCTGCTCTCCGCGCACAATCTCCTTCGCCACCGCAGGATCCATCTCTTCACCAATCATCATGATCACGAGACCGCGGTCATCAAGACCTCTTCGACCAGCTCGACCAGACATCTGGACGAATTCGGACGGCGTTACCCAGCGCTGGCTAAAACCGTCAAATTTCCGGACGCTCGTGAAGACAACAGTCTTTGCAGGCATGTTCAGGCCGATTGAGAACGTTTCCGTCGCAAACAGCACCTTGATAAGTCCTTCTTGGAAGAGAATCTCAATGGTCTCTTTGAGAATAGGAAGCAACCCAGAATGATGGACACCGATACCTCTCCGGAGCAGAGGCAGAATGTTTTTAATCTGAGGCAGGTTCCTATCTTCTTCGGAAAGCATCTCGATAGCGCTGTTAAAAACCTTGGATACCATCTCCTTCTCCGAATCATCATTGAAGGCCAAACGACTCATGTTGAGAGCGCACGCCTCGCATTCACGTTTGCTGAAACTGAAGACAATGACGGGGTTGAGGTTCTTCAGCATGATCATTTTCACAATCTTGTAAATGTCGGACGGCCCTTCAGTTCCCCCCTTATTCGACCTCTTGTCTTTACCCTTTCCCTTCCTTTTGGCCATAGCATCCGACGGGTCATCTCCCTTCTTGTCTGCGATGCTGCTCATTGCCTTTTGGAAGTTTTCTTCGCGGAACACTCCCTTTTCGTCGACGACGAGAAAGATGCCCTCACCACCTGCGGGGAAGAAATAATGTTGTAAAGGAGTAGGTCTGAAATCAGTATATACGACGTGACAGGGTTGGTTGTGCATCTTGACGATCCATTCGGCGAACTGCATAGCATTGGGAATTGTCGCCGACAGGAATACATATCTGACCTTATCCGGTAACAAAATGATGGTCTCTTCCCAGACCACTCCCCGAACTACCATAACTGTCAGTAGCTTTTAAAGTCAGCACCATTCACGAGACTTACCGGCATCACGCATGTAATGAATCTCGTCGAAAACAACCCATGCAACTTCGCGCATAATTTCCGAGCCGCGATACAACATGGACCGAAGAATCTAGCCGAGAACGTCAGCGAACACCCAGTTGCGCTTGGAGTGTCATGGAGGTCTACCTCTGTTGTCATGACCAGACAGGTCGCTGTTGGGTTGATAGTGACATCTCCCGTCATTAAACCAACATCACCAAATTCCGCCGCGAACTCTCGGTATTTCTGGTTACTTAAAGCCTTGATAGGACTTGTGTAGATGACTCTTTGGTTGTTCTTCAAACTTTGCGCGATAGCGTACTCCGCAACTACCGTCTTACCGGCACTGGTATGAGCCGAGACCAGAACACTTTCCTCTCTCTGAATGGATGCAACGGCCACTTGCTGGAACGGGTCGAGAGTGAACGGCCACACCCTTGCAGGGTTCTCAGGCGGTTTGTGTTGCGAAATCGGAACGTATGGATAGTTGGGCGGAATGGCGACTTGATGCCGAACCTGGTGCGACAACTTGACCGAAGTTGTCTCCTTTGCGGTTTGTAGACCTGCAGATGCTGCAACCTCGCGCTCCTGCGCCGTCTCGAATTCGTCTGCTAGTACAGGCTGCGGTTCCTTCTCGAGTCGCGGACGTTTCGCACCAGGTTGTTGCTGGTTGTTCTCGGTCGCAGGCGCTTCAGCCTGTTCCCCATATGCAGCTTCTCCAGCGGGTGCATCGGGAATCTCGATATCTTCCTTGCTCTCTGTCGCTGCGCCATTTTCCTTCACATCGCCATTTACCTGACGCTTCTTGCTCTTGTCTTTCTTGGGTCGTTTGGGTGCACCATCGGCGGGCTTCGCTGCCGCTTGAGGCTGGTCCTCGAATACATCAAAGAGTTCATCCATTATCGAGACAAACTCCAGAATCAGCCACAGATGGCAGATATGAGGCCAAGTTGAGCTGAGACGCCTGTCGTTCTCTGCGATCAACTAAGAAATTTCAATGTTCCTTCTAAGGAAGGCGGCGTGTGATTGGGCAGTAACAGTTTTCTTTAGAAATTATTATCACCGCCGGGAAAACTTGCTACTTCGGAGCGAAAATGTCACGTGATACGGGTTCCGGGGAGCCGCCGAAGCTGTGTCGTTCCACTCCTTCTCTTTCCTTCCGGGTGGTCGATTATCGGGTTACTTCGACGGTATCGTGTCTCCTGCTTCCCTCAAGGTGCGTAATTGTTACTTTTGACTGCCACTTCCCTCAGTTGGATCTGACGGGTGTGTTTAAGATGAACGCTGCTTCTGCTCTCCGCGCCAGAATGGCCACCTCCTTCGTCGCCCGTCGTGGCTTTTCCACCACCCGGGCCCAGCTCGGAAGCCCATACCACTACGCTGAGGGCCCTCGCTCCAACATTCCCTTCAACCCTCTGACCAAATACTTCTTCTGGAGATACTGGGCTTTCATGAGTTCGTCCTTCCAATTGAATGTCCGCGATGCAGCAAATCAACCATGCTGACTTTTGGATGTGTAGTTACCGGCTTCGGTGCTCCCTTCGCCATTGCTGGTACGTTCTCAGTAGTCGAACGCAGGATCATATGTATCCGTCTAACACTGCTCCTACACAGTTTGGCAAACCTACAAGACCCGTTAAGAAGCTCGATTACGCTGAGACTTCTCACACCTCGGCATCCTTGGGCATTGGGAAATGGCGGGAAATGTATCCTATCCTTGAAGCATTCGGTATTATGTACAAAGTTCAGAATTCAGTGGATTTCGACGCATCAATGCTTTGCGATCTATTTTATTGTTTTCTTTCCTCGTAGTTGTGGTTGTAGTGGATTGTGCAGATGGGTTGATGCCCATTAGAAGAATATGGATGAAGTCATTGGTCGAGCGCTCACTTTTGTCCGTCCGAAAATTAAAAATCTTTGGTCGGCACAGCTATGTTTGCAGTCCGCAGACAACACAATAATTGTACCTGAAACGAGCTAATCCTTTTCGGAGTATTTCACGAAGCTCTTTTCATGAAGTCGATCACTTGATTGCTCTGAATCAACTATTTACTTGTGCAAGCTTCGTCGATACATGGCGGGGTAAAGTCTTCAATATCTTGAAAGATGCGCAACTTGAAAAACGTGCGCCTCGCGGAGGTACATCTTCAGAATGAGCTTCCTCTTACGGCTACCGCGTGGGATACAGCTTCGGACGCTGTAATTTGTACCTTTGGACCTACAGAAGCGAACCCCATCATTGAGCTTAGGAGGAAGCACCAAGACAGCTACTTTACAACCCCTGTAGGCGCAGAAGTATTTGAATGCATCGCATCCTGGGATGCGCCATGCCCGCTACCTGATTTGAGCTGCGATCGGGTTCTGTCGCTACATTACTTCGCGGACAATCACACCGCGTGCTTGGTTCTGGAAGGAGGTGACATCGTCATTGTTCGTGAGGAACCCCTTCCGGGTGAAGATAAGATCGAGATCGTGGGTTCAGTCGATGTTGGCATTGCAGCTGCCGCTTGGTCTCCGGATGAGGAGCTACTAGCTCTCACAACTAGAGCCAATACCTTTCTCTATATGACTAGAGAGTTTGAGAATGTTGCTGAGATCACGTTCACTCCCGAAGATCTTAAAGCATCCCAGCATGTTTCCGTGGGCTGGGGCAAGCGAGAGACACAATTTCAAGGAAAGAGAGCCAAAGCCCTCAGGGACCCCACGATGCCTGAAAAGGTAGACGAGGGCAAAATGAGCAGCAACGATGACGGCAGAACTACTATCAGCTGGCGCGGTGACGGTGCTTACGTTGCTGTGAACAGTATCGAAGCGGGTGTTCGTCGCGTGATTAGGGTCTACTCCAGAGAAGGCACTTTGGACAGCGTGAGCGAGCCAGTCGATGGTCTAGAAGGTGCCCTTAGCTGGCGGCCCTACGGCAATCTAATTGCGGGGATTCAGCGGCTTGAAGACAAGGTTGATGTGGTATTTTTTGAGAGAAACGGCTTGCGCCATGGAGAGTTCTCGCTTCGCCTCACCGAGGAAGAGAGAGCATCCTGGGCCTCTGATATTCATCTCAGTTGGAATGTCGATTCAACAGTCCTTGCTGTCTTGTTCCGCGATCGTATTCAGTTCTGGACCATGGGTAACTACCACTACTATCTCAAGCAAGAGGTTCCTGTGCTGGCCAATCCGGATTATCCTCGTCCTTTTGTCTTCAAATGGCATCAAGAGAAGGCTCTACGCTCTGTTGCTTGTGGCTCAGGTACTTGGCACTCCGATGTCTCTTCCATATACATGCTGATGATCTTTTTCCAGCGTCGATATTGGACGTAGACTTTGTCTTCGATGTTGCCCATGGTTCGACCGTCTCTCCTCATGACGTCGGTGCTGTTGCTGTGGTCGATGGAAGTATGTTTGGATTCACATCGGATGAGAAGAGCCTCATGCTAATTCGCAGAAGAAACACTCAAGTTGACGCCCCTAAGACTATCGGGAGTTCCTCCGCCAATGGCTCACAATAACGTGCCAGTGCACTCGAACGTTGTCGATGTCGCATTCAGCAAGTCTGGCACTCGAATAGCGGTCCTTATGAAAGATTGCTTCTCTGTCTACATGTGGTCACTGAAGACTCGTCCTGTTCCTTCTCCAATACTCGAATCTAGCCATCCCTTGCCGGACACTGTAGACAGCCGACCACGACAGATCGCTTTTTTGAACGAGAATGAAGTCTACATTCTCAGGAACAGTGGACCGAACAGCGCTCGTATTGAAAGGACAACGCTCGAGACCCGATCGACGACGACCGCCTATCAAGCAACAGACTCGGAGCAGCTTCTCACAATTGTCCCAGCCCTTGGACATGACGCTTTGTGGCTTTCGCATGTCCGTCAACCTGGGCGCCCAATCGCGTACTCTATCTTGAAAGCCTTCTCCTCCGGAGACGTCGACGTGGACTATTGGGACCAGAGCCCTGCTGTCGACACCCACTGGGCTCGGGCTGTCCACTTGTCAGAGGATGAGGTATTATCTCTCATTGCCCCACAATTGACTGAAATCTCGCTGACAGCTTAAAAGCGCGTTTTGATCTCATTATCGAGGACCGGGGCCCTTTATGCAAATAGCCAACTGCTTGCAAAGAATTGCACGTCCTTCCTCGTGACCCAAGCGCACGTCTTGTTTACTACTTCCCAGCATCTTCTCAAGTTTGTTCACTTGGCAAAAGCAGAAGGTTTGTTGAATATGGCGATCTCATTTCCATTTTCTAATGGCTAATTTCAACTTACAGAGATGGAAGTTCCTGCCGACACCCCCGAGACGGACGAACGATGCCGAAGTATCGAACGTGGAAGCAAACTGGTGTCAGTCATGCCCTCTAAGTTCGCTGTCACCCTACAGGCGCCCAGGGGCAATATAGAGACAATCTACCCTCGGGCTCTTGTCTTGGCCGGCATCAGAAACTACATCGATCGAAAGGACTACCGCTCCGCATTTCTTGCCTGCCGCAGCCAGATGGTAGACATGAACATCCTTCATGATTATGCACCTGAACAATTCTTGGAAAATGTTGCATTATTCGTGGATCAAGTGAAGAGGGTAGATTTCATCGATGAATTCCTATCCCGGTTGAGGTGAGTTGACGGCCTGACTTTTCCTCTCGAGAGCCGTGCTGACCGGTCCTCAGTGAGGACGACGTCTCACAAACTTTGTACAAGGACACCTTAAAGACACCCAGGGAGGTTCAAACCACAGTTCAGCCGGAGAATACAGCCTCTTTCAAGCCGACGACTAAGGCCAGCAAGGTCAACCGAATCTGCGATGCGTTTCTGGCCACCCTCGAGAAACGCTTGGACACCAACTTGCATAACCTGGTCACTGCACATGTTTGCAAATCGCCACCGGATCTCGAAGCTGGACTTCAGCTTGTCGCTCGCCTGAGAGGTTTGTTTACAGTCACGAGTACTCCTTTGCCAGTTGCTGACCGCTCTATAGAACAAAGCGCGGAGCAAGCAGAGGACGCAATTGAGCATATGTGTTTCCTCACAGATGCTCACCGCCTGTACGACCATGCATTGGGTCTCTACGACCTCGAGCTCACTTTGTTGGTTGCTCAGCAGGCTCAAAGGGTAAGATTGGCCCATGTGGTTGGCGAGCAAGTCTCTAACCTCGACTAGGACCCTCGAGAATACCTCCCATTCCTGCGGAAACTTCAGCAGCTTCCCGACGATCGACGTCGTTTCGAAATTGACAATTATCTTGGCCGCTGGGCCAAGGCTCTGAAGCATCTCCATACTCTCAACGCCTATGACGAGATGCGCGCTTATGTCATAAAGCATGAGCTGTACAAAGAAGCGATTGACTTGTTCAAATATCAGCAGGAGCAGCTGCGTGATATGACGCATATCTATGCCGATTTCTTGCACGATCACTCCAAATACAAAGAAGCAGGAATCGGTACGTCTCTCCATTCTTATATAGTCCCGCCAAGTAGCACGCGAACACACTAGTGCTGACTCTTTGTAGCTTACGAGTCTCTATCGCTCTACGAAGATGCATACAAGTGCTACCACCTGGCGCACCTCTGGCGCGAGTCTCTATACTGTGCCATGATGGTTCCCCTGTCGGAAGCGGATCTCACCGCACACGCACTTGCCCTATCGACTACATTGACCGAAGAAAGCCGCGACTACGTCTCTGCAGCTCACATCCACGCAGAGCACCTGCATGACATCCCGGCAGCGGCTCGCCTCCTCTGCCGCGGTTCTCGCTTCGCGGACGCCACGCGTATCCTCGCGCTCCATGGCAAACAAGATCTGATCCCGGAGGTCGTAGACACAGGTCTCGCAGACTCCATGGGAACCACGACGGACCTCCTTGCCGACTTCAGGTCACAGTTGAACGCCCAGGTTCCACGTATCCGAGAACTACGCAAACGCCGTGCTGCCGATCCCCTGGCCTATTTCGGTGGTGATCCAACTACCGGTGACCTCGGAGTCGATATTCCAGATAACGTCTCTCTGGCTCCCACGGACGCCTCCACACTGGCTGGCCGCACCATGTTCACGAGGTACACCGGCAAAACGACATCCTCACGGCATACGTCCAAGACCCGGCGGCGAGAGGAGCGTAAGCGGGCGCGTGGTAAGAAAGGCACGGTCTACGAAGAGGAGTACCTGGTCAATAGTGTGCGACGACTCATTGAACGAGTCAACTCGACTGTTGCTGAAGTGGAAACGCTTGTTGACGCACTCCTGCGGCGGGGGATGCGCGAGCGCGCCGCTGCTATTGAAAAGACTATGCAGGAAGTGCTGAAGATGTGCGCTGATAGTAGGGAGGAAGTGTTTGGCGCCCCAGGACAAGACGAGTGTGAAAACGCCGCAGAGGGCCCCGAGGGTGAAAACCTTGATGGTGCCGAAGAACTTAGACCTCGCGGGGGACAGCGTGTGCTCGCCGAGAGTGTCACGTCCGTGCTGGGTACCGGTAAATCAGGGCGGGAAGTCCCACCGGTCAAGGAAATGAAGAAGTCTGCCCTGCTGAACTAATCTCCTAGTATGGATGAGGTTTGATTACTTTTTTTGGGCTACTATCTGCTGAGGTAAATTATGGATAGATAAAAAGGAGTAATAAACCCGAAATCCAACAGTGTCTGGACCACTTGCTA